TGTTTTTGTAGCATGCTACTGCTGAAAGAAAAAAAAAGAAAGGGGTAAAAAAAAATAAAAGGGCCAAGCCATTGAGAGCTTTAAATTCTGCTCCTGAGCCGCTTCGTGGTTCGTGTGAACGTACCTGCGATGTCCCAGAGCTGGAGTCGTACTGTTTCCGATTCCGACCACTGGACCACCTTCAGGGCAAAATCCACTAGAGAATCCCCCAAAAGAAAGGAAACTTAATTAGGGGCATTCTGCACCATGGGCCTTGTTCCTCCACAGCCTCGTACCATTTCCCAGCACAGGCCAACCCAGCAACTGCTCTTCCAGCCACGGCAGCTCATACTGGACCATCACCCACGCCAGCACAGCCCAGCACAGCCAGGAGGGTCTGCAATTTCTGTCGCCTCTCCTCCATCGCAGAAAGCTGTGAAATAAGTGTTAAATCCAAAAGGCTCCACACACCGTCCGCTCCATGCCCCGCAGAGAGGTTGACCACATGCACACAAAATGCCTTCAGATAAGCAGAAGTCAAGCGCGTTATCAGCATCTCATCCCTCCCCGGGATGCTACGCTGGGCTTGTAGTTCTTCCTGAGCTTCAGATTAGAGAGTTAAATAAGGCAAGGAACGGATCCTCCCCGTCTTGCAAAGCCCAGCCTGGCAGGTCTGCTGTCGAAGCCCTCGCAAACGGCAGCAGAGAGGCTGCTCTGCAGTTCTTGGGGAAGGAGGACAGCAAGGTGGAATTTTTCCAGCAAACGCAGCGCTGGGTGGCCCCCACTCCCCCAAATCGTGGGACTTTTCAGAATCTTGGGCCAGCAGGGTTTGTAACCATCCCACGCACAACCCCCCCTTCACGGCAGGGAGCCTGAGCTCTGCCCCCACTTATTTTGGGTCCTCAGGGAGATTTACCGGGACCTCCTGCTCCTTGCAGGTTATTTATTTACACTGACATTAAACAAAGGAGGCTTAATCTTCTTCCCAGCCTCCTTGTTACAGAGCTGGGGTTTTCCCCCCATCATCTTCCCGGAGCGCTGCTGCAATACTTCAGCAGGGGTTTCACGCTGTTAAATAAACGTCAAAACAACGCTGCTCTTGGTTTTGCTGGGAAGAGCCGAGGCTGTAATCTCAAACTCTCCAGCTTAAAACTCCCGGGAACGCTTGT